TGGTTATAAATCTCCATGGTAGAAGTTGACTTTGATCAAGACTCGTTTCATTGATTTAATACAACTCGTTAATTTACATTGTTATTTGTTATAAGATTGATTTCATTATAAACAAAACCCACCACAATCGTTATACGAAACATAAATTGTTGAATTGCACACTCTTCGTGAGATTGACCCTTACTTCCATTACTACATTAGTTTTAGAGGTTTGAAGATTATTTTTGAGTGCCTAAGACAACACACCAAGAGTTCTGCACAAAGAGTAGCAGAACTGATAAGATAATTTTTTTAAAACAAACTCAAATATCCATTTCTATCATTTAAGAAATATCCAGATGAATCAAGTTTTGATAAGGAAACTAAATTGCAGGAGTTAGAATGTACATAAAGAGTTTGAAATAAATCTAAATGTCATGTATCTAAAATCAAACGGTAGGTTCCAATGGTTTCAACAAGAGCTTTAACTCGATTACCCATGGGAATGAACTTTTCATATTGATTTATTGTCCATATTGAAAGGTATCCATGCATCGTATTGGTAACGTGGGTGGTACTTTTGGAATCAATCCACCAAGTGTTATAAGGAACTTCTGCCATATTAGATTTGAAACTTAAATAAGAAATAATATTACCTTTACTTTCAAACCATGCCTATGTTTCAGGCAGTCTTTTTTATGGTGCCTAAGTTTACGACAGAAATGGCACGTATCTTTCTTGTGTTCCTTATTGTGAATTTGGACAGAAGACTCTTTTACTTTTAGTGGTCCTTGCTAATGCCCTTTTCAGATGTTTTCTTATATTTTTTCCAGCTCCTTGATGATTTACGAGATGAACAGAATGAGTTCCTTGATNTTTATGGCCTATACAAACCTTTTCTTATATTTCTTTCCACCTCCTTGATGTCTTTTGAGATGAACAGAATGAGTTCCTTGATTCTTAAGTCTTGTCTCCTCTTGCATGAGCATAATGTGCAATTCATTCACATTCCATTTATCTTTTTAAGGTATTATAGTTCATATGGAATTGGCCATACTCAGGAGAAAATGGAGTTGATGATAAACTGTACCAGAAAGTTCTCATCCACAGTCATTACAAGAGTCTTAAATCTTGCTGCAATGTTACTCATTTCAGAAACATGCTCGTGCATGGTACAAGAACCATCAAATTTCATGGTGGTTAGGGTGATTTGTCAGCTGTTTGGGAACGTTCTTCCACAAACTTCATATATTCCTTAGCAATTTCAGTTTTAGGGATGATAGACTTGATATTATTTGCTAAGGTCATTCGCATAAAATTTAGGCTTAATCTATTTGATATTTCCCAATCATTTAGGAAAGATCTTTCATCAGCACTGTTCTCATCATGAGATCAGCATGTTTCTCAACTTGAAGTTTCAGTCTAAGTCCAGTTTAAGTTGTACACACCAGTCAGAAAAATTGAGTCTATTAAACAGTGGTAGAGGTGAAGCGTGCGAATGCGATGAAATAGAAACATATACTGCAAGATATAAAATACTCTAACATTAATGCTTTGAGTTTTAACTTAAACACTTAAGTTTAGATTCAGATAACATTAAATGTATAACGTAATTCTCCTTTGGGTGATACTACACTATACCAATCAAAATAAACATAATGATGCTAGTTTAATTTCACTTAATTGGAAATTAAATACACTCTAATTAAACATGCATGTTATCTTTGGATAACATTTCACATCTAACTAAGTATATCAATTAACCACAATCATATTCAAGATTAATAAAATTAATTGATCAACCTTTGGGCGATCCATAAGAATTTTATAATCTATGAACGTTGGACAATAATAATCATAAGTATCCAACTATCAAGAGTAATTGACAAATAAATTATGCAGTTAGGTGTTCACAATACCAAATGTTTAGTCACTGACTAACAAACAACATTAATCAACCATTAATTACATAAACAGAGCATTTATCACTTAATGTTTATTTACAAATTTACATATTCTTGTTGAGCCACAAAATACACAATAAAATAATTAATGGTAATGGCGGTCATGCATAACACAATTAAGTATTCATGTATTTAGTCAAGGTAACTGTAACAATAAATTTGGCACCTAAACACAATAATTGCAACAGTGACTTTGGCACCCATTGATAACTGGAATTGCAGCAGTAAATAAGAGTCTATGCCTTCTCACTAAACCAAATTGCCAAACATTAATTCCTTTCTGACACATATTAAAGTCTTTTTTCTTCTACATGAATAATAATAATAATAATAATCTGATTAAATGGTGTGAAACCTACAGTAACCGAAATGCGTGAATGGTATAGATTTTTCAACAAAACATCATTACTAGTAATATTTGGGCTTGATTTCACGTTTCAACAGAAATGACCCTATTTGGGAAACGATTAATAGCATTTGGACGGAGCCGTGATTGAAGTCAAATGAATTTTGTTCCATAAGTCGATAACAAAAATTAAGGATCAATAAGCAAAAAACAATAATCTTTAATGGAAAATCAAGAATTCTTTAACATTGGCTCTGATACCACGTGTAAACAATTAATTAACCCTAAGACCAAGATCTATAGAATTCATGATTTTCACATATAGATTTAATTGATCGGGAAATATACTTTGATCTATAGCAATAATTGAAAGATTTAAACCTGCAAAAGAGGAACAAGGTACAATTCTCTCTTTTCCTCTCTGTAATTGAATATTTTAATTTGATAGGTTTCATTCACGTTTATAGGCAGAGAGGCAGTTTTATGGGCCATAAAAAACTACCCACTTTCCATCAAAGTCGACAGTTATAAAACTATCATTTCTCAATTGGGCAATACGATTTTAGCAATAATAAATCACTTTAATTAATTTATTAATAATATTACTTCGGCCACATTAATTGGTCATACAAAAAGATGATTCGATATCCATGACAATTTGTTTCTCTGTAGTTTGAGATACTACTATATGCTAAAAATCACTAACTTCAGAAGATAATTGCCGTATCTTTTCCTGAGGTAGAATATATTGCTGCCACAGATTGGGTAAAGGAAGGGTTCTGGTTTCAAGTTTCAAGGAGTGTCAACAAAACTTGGTTACAATAACAATGGAACTTATCCATACTCAGGCTATCAGAGTGCTATTCCTAGATATATTGAATATGTTTAGCTATTGATCAGAGATCCACATCAGGATATCGTAGACTTCTGGTAGGTAATATAGTTACTTGGAGAAGTAAAAAATAAGTGGTAGTGGTTAGATCAAGTGCAGGGCGAGAAGTCAAATCCGTGGCGCAGGGAATTTGTGAATTACTCTGGTTGAAGATTGTTCTAGATGACATCAAGGTTAAATGGGAATGACCAATGAGGTTATATTGAATAACAAAT